CTTTTCATTCTTTTCTTCCACATCCTGTTCTGAAGCTGTGGTGCAGAGATACAAATCGTTAAACATGCGAGTCCTCGGAGAGCCAGGTTTCAGTTTGTGTGGAATCAGCCCCTTTTGACTCAGAAGTTGGAAACCAGATGACTCACAGTGATGCATGTTTGTTGTTTTTAATAACTGTCATTTTGCAAAATATGGTCAAAGCTTCAAACCATGACTTCTGGAGTAGGGGTGGTGTGTATTTATTTTTAATTTGGGAGGCTATAAGCTGGAATGAGTTTGTTGCTGCAGTCTTCCCTTCAAATCTGAAGTAGAATTACAGCATTGAAAATGTGAAGGATTTTAAACACAATTTTTTCCTGTTACTTGAAAAAAAATTACTTTCTTAATCAATTACTTGAAAAGACTCCAGGTGCCAAACATCTGGTGGGACTGTAGGCCCCTGGTTTATGTTTATATTTTTTAATATATACCCAAAGGGACAGGTTTCTTAAAAAGGAAGCAGTCAGATGTTTTGAATTTGTGGAGTTTTAAAAAAATAAATGCAATTCCTACTTTATCATTTCTATTTCTAACCAAATTGTCATCTATCTCTTTTCATTTAAAGGAAGGTAGCAAATGCAGTATTTTAGTGGCAAAATTCTCTATTGGTAAAATCTCGTAGCAGTATGGAAAATACGAAAATAGCTACACATTTAATTTTCTAGAGATTTATTACTGCTTGCACAGCAGTTTGTAAACTCTAAGCTCAGTATTAAGTGCTTTATGACTTTTTTTTGTGTTTTACTTCTTAATTTGCCTCAAGAAGTATTGTTGTAATTTGTTGAAATTCTGCAGGTTTGTTTTGCAGTTAATTTCAAGGGCAAATTTACAGCCACTCCATCCCAGTAGAGGGGTACCAGGATAAAATCTATCAAATCTTAAATCTAAATCTGAAATGTGAGAACGGGATTTGACCCCAAGTGTAAAAGTGGCCTTGAGACAGAGTTGGCCATGGGTCTGGATCCTGCAGTTCAGTTCTCAGATTTGGGTGCTTTGTAACCATGTCTGTCATGATTTATATTAGGGTCTGTTGCAATTGCTGTTGCACAATGAAAGGCTGTGCTCTAGTCCAAGGAGGCAGACTCTCAGCCTACCTCAGCCTGTTGCTTCTTGTTAGAGAGTGAAAAAGCAGCTACTGATTTAAAACAGAGAGCTTTGGGTTCTGCTTTTAGGCTGAGATAGGATATCTCTCTCTGGTGGTAAAAGTGCTAGAAAAAGCACATTGCCTTTACCCTGAGGAAACACACATCTGTGTGCTGGCCACTGCTGGCCAGCTCGGCTCTGATTCCTTATTCCAGTCGGGAAAGAAATAGGTTTGGGTCTTTATTGTTTAAAGTAAATGTGCTTGCTTGTGAAAGGTAGTGCTTTGGAGGCTTGAATTGTCCTCCCCTGTGAGCTGAGAGAGCAGCAGAGCAGGATCCCCCACCGTGACACCGAGGGACGCCCTCGTCCCCAAGAGCGAAAGGAGAGTTCAGTCTCTCACCCATTTGGTGCCTGACTTCCCTCGGAAGCTGCCAAGAAGGATGCCAGTTTTTCCATTTAGCTGACTATTGTATAGACCTTAAAAGGGAAGGTTTTAATGCAGTTGGCTGTGATATAGACTGTTAAAGGGAAGTTATTTATTTTAACTGGCTGCTGTATGGATTATTACGAGGGCATTCTTTCAGCTGCAGCTGTATATTGACTGGTGGATGTGCTGGGCTGTATTGGTAGTAGCTGTCATATTGACTGTTACAGAAAAGATCTGTATTTAAGCCATAACACTGCACTGGGATCTCCCAGGCAGGATATTAATGCTAATTCATCTGCTCACCCCCTGCTGTGAGTGTTATTTGTTTAAATCTGTAGAATCCCACAGCGCATTTATATCCTCGCTAGAGTGAGCTCCGCTCCCTGTAATTATTTAACATTATATGCTGATATAAATTGTAACAGTTAAAGAATGGTAATGAGCAGCAAAAAAACACAAACTTAACCTTAGAAATGGCAGAGTCAGCTCTTAAAACAACAGCCAGCAACTTTCACTGTTCGCTGTCTTTTCCCAAGTCCATATGCACAATATTGTGCATACATTATGTGTGTGCGTGTGTGTTCATGCTCGCACTGGCAGCGGTGCCAGGCAGGGCTGTAATTATGCAGAATGTACTGTGAAACTTATGCACACTCTTAATTACATACAGTGCCTACGTACAGCAAGTTTTATCTCTCTGCAGCTCAGCTCCTTGATGAGTTGCTCTGATAGGTGATTGGAGTTGGGGCCACCGCGTCGACAGAGGGAATGGAACCCCTGGATTCTCCTCCCAGGGAATTGTGTCCCAAGGTTAAGCTGGAAGCCATCGGGTGTCACTGTTGCTCTGTGGAGGCTCAGCTGGCAGTGGGTTTGTGTGGCAGTAAAAACTGGACTTTGGAAGTAGTATTCTTGGCTATAAACATCCAAGGCATTTACACACAGTTTATATATAAAGAGCATGTCCATACACACCATTTAAGTGTGGGTGGAGAGAGCGGAGGTGGCTCTGTTGTGTGTTAGCTGACTTTTTTCTTTGCAGTTTCTGTTGCCTGTTATAGCAGGCATGTCCCAAAATGCCACACAGGATGGGCAGCTACTGCTGAATAGCTCTGCATTCTGCTCTGAAGTGACTGTGGTTCAGCAGTGGAGATGACCTGATTTCTGTGTGTAATTTGCCTGTGAACATTAACCTGTGATCAAAGTTTTGGATTTATGATGTGACAACTGTGGTGTAGAAACAGCAAAATTATATTCAGTTTAGATTTCTCAAGAGCTTGGGAACTACAGGGATTAAAGGGTACTGTAGACATTTTAAAGCTGTAGTATGTGTGTCAAAACTCATTGAAAAATCAGGTTTGCGTTCAAACGGTTCATCAACAACATAAAAAAAATTCACCAACTTAAAACGGAGATGGGAGAAAAGCCATGTAAATAGCAAAGCAAATGTGTTTTTAAAAGACTTTATAGTCTGTGTCCCTTCTGATTTCAGGTAGGGAGTAGAAGCTGGAGTAAGAGGAGCTGAGCCTGTGCTTGATTTGCAGAGTAGCGTGATGGTCGGTTGGGCTGCGTTGGCAGCATGGACCTGTGCCAGACTTCACCACAATTCATACTGTGTCAGTTTAATAAATGCACTACTTAAATTATGAAATTACAAAAGAAAAAAGAGAATGCACTTATTCAGACTCTTAATACATTAAAAATAAGGCATTAAAACACTGCCTTTTTTTTTTTCCTTCCAGAATCAATAATGAACAGGAAGGGTTGTAGACATTAACAGTCATGGACATTCAAGCTCTTATACATAAATTATCTTAGAAAAATGCACATACGACTTGAATAATGTAAATACATTAATGCATTTAATAATTTAAACATTAAAGCGCATTCAGGAATCCGTGGCAGAAGCTGTTCTGAGATAAGGAACGGTCCTGGAAGTTGTGTGTCCCGAGATCGATGGCTGGCTTCTCCTTGAGAGAACTCTCTGGGGAAGTCAGGCTGTGCAGCTGCAGTGACCTGGCCCCAGAAATCCCAGGGCATTCCCAGCTCTTCTGCTTCCACCTCCTCTTCTCTCCCCAGCACTTCCGTGCAGGACATCTCGGGGCCCACAAAAGGCCAGGGTGCACTCTGACATTTGTTTTTTTTTTTTTTTTCTGTGTGGACTGCAGTTTGTCTAGAAATCAGATGAAACAGCTTCAGAGAAAGAAAGTTGCTAAGACTGTCAGTAGGAGAGTGAGGCTTGGAGAAGTAATGCACTCCAGGAATGCTTGGCTCTTTCTTGAAGCCCTGAAAATCAGAAGGTTGGCTGCAGTGTAATGACAAATCAGGGGATTTATTCTCTTCTTGCTCCTCTTTGGATTGAACCACCTTCAGCACTGCAGAAGCACCAAACAGGAACACCAAAGTCCCCTCACACAATACATTTTTCTGAAGATTTTGAGCTGTGTCGTTTTTGCTGATGTACTTAAATTTGGAAGGTGTTGTATCCACCCCTCATGCCGCTTTTCCTGAGTTCATAGCCTTCCTTTTCCTGGCTCTCCTGCAGGCAGGTGCTTTGGAGGTCATTTGCACCCTACAGCCCCACTCGTGGAGTGGTATAAGGTATCGTGTTTAGGCCTAGATACTGATGGAGCTAATGATGGAGCTAATAAAAAAGAGCTTAGTCTGATCCCAAAGGGAGAAGAGTTGGGTTGGTTAATTAAAGGAGCCTGGCACAGAGCACCTAGTAATTATAGGTGCAAGAAGTCTGAATTTGAAGAGGATGGTGCAGCTGGAGAGGGATAGGGAGGCACCCAGAGCTCTTCAGGCTGTGGGCAAGAATGCAGCAAAACCAGATCTGGAAATCAGAGCTGGGCAGAATTCCTTAGTGAATTCTTATTTATTCCATTTTTTAATGAGGACCTGAATCTCTCGTTATGCATTTATGTTTTTGCATGCACATGTGTATGTACAATTGTAGTTACACCCTATGGCTGGGAGGGTGATTTTATTAAAGACCAGAAGATTGAGAGACAGATGTTTTAAGAGGCCTTGCCCTGTAGTAGTTTGGGATAATTAATGCTGACTGCTGCATTGGTTATATTATCAATGCTGCTGGCTTGTTATCTCCAGCATCATCCCAGCAGCCAGGAGCCGGTATCACTGTGGGGCAGAGGGGCTGGTGCCACCAGGACCTGCAGGGAAATTGCTCCTGCACTCCTCTGGAGGTGTAGGGTGGGGAGCAATGCTGTGTCATCACATTGTCATCACCACTGCTAGGTCTCTTTATAGTTAAGTTCCTTAAAGCAGAATTTCTCAAACTTAGGTTAGAACTCCAAAGGGATGCAAAGGCTTCAAAGGAAGTCACAAAGTCACTCACCAGTAAACAGCTTTCTACTTGTAATTGCTATTTGGGGCTCTGTTCCTCCTAGTTTGAAGAGGTAGCATTTACTTCAGTAACTCTTATTTTCCTGAAGGAACTTGATGCCATCTCAGCTGAGGAATGTGTGATGCGCCACCACAGTAAATGAGTGAAAAAGGGAGTCAAGCTTGCATAAATTTTGAGAAGCAATGCTGTAGCAAATTTTATTTTCTGCGGTTAAGTTCTGGAAATATTGCTCAAAATGGATCTATTAACTTCACCTGATGAAACAGAGACAGTTATTTTGTCCCTCCAGTGGATTTCTCAGTAGACCCCATCTGGGGAAGGTGGGACTGTCTGTGCAAAATGTATCATTTGTTTGAGTGCTCAGGACCAAATAATCAGTCAAGGAAGCTGTAGGTCTTCTTCTGTCCTTCCAGCTGGTGTTCTGTATAGTGATGGGTGGGTTGCACTAGAAAATGAAATGTTAGTTCTAAGGATTTTAGATCAAAAGATGAAAAACACCAGTTTTTCCAACACTAGGAGAAGAAAACTGTTCTGAGAATTTGACTTGTGTGCTGACCATATGTGTGTGCTCCTTGGCTGTCCTAAGTGTAAAATACACAAATGTTAACTTAAGACACCTTTTTTGAGCTGTTGAAATGAGGGATGTTCATGGTCATTTTGTCCCGTTCTGGTGAGTCTGTGGCTCTGACCACCCGTACAAAGGCAGAAGTGGATGGATGAAGAATGAATGCCCTCTGTTTTCCCAGCTGGAGCAGGCAGTGCCCCTGTGTACAGGGAGCAGACCTGGAGCCTCCTACACCTGGCAGTGCAGCACTGCTGTGGTAGGAAGGGATGGAAGGGGTGTAAGGGATGGAAGGAAGGGATGGAAGGGATGTAAAGGATGGAAGGAAGGGGTGGAAGGGATGGAAGGGGTGTAAGGGATGGAAGGAAGGGATGGAAGGGGTGTAAGGGATGGAAGGAAGGGATGGAAGGGATGGAAGGGGTGTAAGGGATGGAAGGAAGGGATGGAAGGGATGGAAGGGGTGTAAGGGATGGATGGAAGGGGTGGAAGGGATGGAAGGAAGGGGTGGAAGGGATGGAAGGGGTGTGTCCCTTGCGTGTGGGAAGCTCCTGCGGGGGATTTTTCATAATCCTGCTGAGGAAAGGATGGGGTGATGGGATGTGCTGGACGTGGCCTGCCGGGAGAGCAGAGGAGTGGGTGGGGATCTCCCTGGGCTCCCATGGCTTAACAGCCACGTTTAGCTGGATTTAGGAGGTATAAGCATTTATGGTAAATTCTACTGCTGTATCACAGCCTGCTTTCTGCTTTTCTAGCTTTGTCTCCATGGGGGTATTCCATACATTATCCAATTTCACAGCCTGAACTTTCCCCCCTACTTAGAAGATTATGTGGGGCAGAGATGTGAGAAGAAAGGGAGTCTTGACACTGCTCCACCTTTTTATCTCTCTAACTCCATGTATATCTGTCTGCTCTCACGGGGGCCAGGCCTTCTGCCTTCCAAAACCCTGCTTGGAAATCGCTGATTCAAGCAGGTAGCAATTTTAGGGCTCCTTAGGAAATAAATGCCTCCTGTGTGCTCCCCTGGCACTGGGATTTCCTCTCTGATTTATCCTGCTCAGGTCTGCTAATGTCCCTTGACTAAACGGGGCATGGTGTGATGGTGTGAAGGTCATTTTCTATATGCAATATACATTTCTGCACTCATGGTGGGAGGGTAGGACATCTGAAGCAGCAGATCCTGCTGGGAAAAGGAAGAAGAAAAGGATAGTCTGGCTCTTCTTTTCACTGCGTCTTGTGGTGGGATGAAGGTTTTGACAGCCTAATTCAGCATTTAGAGAAAGAACCAAGCAGAAAGATTCCCCCTCACCCACTCCTTGCAGCCCAGCTGTGACAAACTGACAGATAATTAACAAATCAAGACCTCCTATTAGCCTTGTCCCTGGTGCATTAAAGCAGCTCCTATGTTGCATGTGTCCTTTAGCAAGTGCCTGTGCTTTCTGGCTGCACAGGGAGGTAGGTACAGCCCTTCAGAGAGGCAAAGGCGCCTCTAAGGTGTCAGTGCACAAATATTTCCAGGAATAGAAGTTGTCTCTAAAAGGAAGCAGTGGACAGTAGGTGGGAGAGCTGTACCATGACTGCATGGAAGCCCCTCTAATGGTGCAGTATCTTCTGGGAACACTGCACTGAAAGGGACGTGTGGAATTGTTATTGAATCCCTCTTGTTTTTACAGAAAATGACCTGAGTTGAAGCAGCAATTGACAGGGCGGGTTTTTGACTGGGACTAACCAAGCCTGTAAATGTGACACGCCAGAAGTCTGGTTTGTGCTAGAAACAGACCTAATGTTAAGATGTTAATATTGCATTGTGAGCCATGAACTGGTGCCTGCTCCTCTCTGTCCTCAAGTTGCTGGAGGTGTGGGTAAGCCCCAAATAAGCTGCTTCTCTTCACTTTAGCTGCTCTCCTTTGGAGAAGAATGACGAGGAGTGTCAGTGTCCCTCCAGTTCAAGATGTTAAATAGACACAAGCCACTGGTTCAGCTTAGCACATGTTAAAGGAGAGAGAGATACCTAATTGCATCAAAGCCACTCTTAAGTTCATGTATGTGGAGCCCATCAAGCTGAAAGCATCCAGACAGCATCTGCTGTTATCAAATCACTCTTGAGTCGAGCTAATTAAAATAGAGCTTCATTTTTCTGAACCATTGTTTGGCAGGAATTTGAAACAGGTCTAACCCAATTTCTGTGTGTTTATGAGCCTTTATTATATCAAAAGTACTTTTCTGTAAATGTACAGGGCAGTGTTAAATGAATTGATCCACACTGTATCATTGTAGATGCACTATGGGCTTCCTAATGATTTCTCTTTTAGCTTTTTCCAGATATACCCCAGAAAAGCTTTGTCCCTTATCGTGTCATCTTCCTTCTCTCTTTTCCTTTCTATCTCACTCTCAAGAAAGTAAATGTCCTTGTATTTCTTTCTTTCATATCCTCCTCCTCCACTCTATTGGGATTCTTGTATTATTAAAACATTTACACATTTGCTGCCACATGCAAATGCAGAATAATAATCCAGGACTCTTTATACTCCAGACAAGAGCAGGAGGTCTCTCACCACTGATTTTCACCCCGTTCTCATCCCTGTTGGTTACAGGGGATGGAGAGGAGGGGATATTGCTGTGTAAATGTTGCTGTGTTGGATCTGTTTGATGCAGGATATTTTTTCTACAGTTTTTATGTTAAACATTTTGTATTTCAGCGTTCAAATTCTGGGTATCATATTCTTCTTTGTAATTTGCTACATACCAAGCACAAAAGTTAGAGATTAGAAATTTCTCCCCAAAGACAAATTGCACTGCGGAGCATGTGAAAGCTAATTCCTGAATATTCTCTGCAGAAAGGGAATACCACAAATACAGCCAGTCTGTTCAGAACCTTTGAGCTGGAGTAGCAGCCCAGGGAAACAGTAAAGTCAAGAAATAACTATTTTTCTGGTACCAAGTACAGCCCAAGTTGTTCATATGATATTCTTGAGTCTTAAATTTATTTTTGAGCAGTGGATTCATATTACAAAGAAAGAAAGTTGAGGATTATCATGAAGTAAAAATCCCGACAGTGTCATTAAATATCCCTGCAAAAGTGATAAAGACTTAGGATTTTTGAAAATAGATGGAAAAATACAAAATAAAACCTATTTTTCTGTATAATTCAATTAAGTTTACTTCTTTTAACAAAGTTAAATTTGTGAATTGTGAATTTTAGTGCATTTTATTTTGCTTTTAGTGCAGTCTGTTCTGGATGTGTATATTGGACTCTGTACAGCCTGAGAGCAGTGCACAGAAATGGGTACTGAGGGCAAGTACAATGTTCTGCCATAACCAAACCTGTGGGGAAGGTTCTATTAGATGTTCCCAAAATTGTGAAACATTATTGTCTCCTGTTCTGTGCTTTTAGACAGCTTGTTACTCAGAAGTTTGCTCTTCAGTTCATTGACAGTGACTCTCTCCTGATTCCTCTTTTAATAAATGTAAGTGAATTTAATGCTGGCAGAGTCACAGTGTTCAGAGGGCACAGCAGGGACGTTGTGCTGGCTGCTTTTTCTGTAAATCTGTAATCAGACCTAATCTGAGGGCCCTGCTGCTGGGGGCTCGACTCCTCTGTTTGTTGTGTTCCCATCTCCTTTTGGAGCCCAGCAAGGTGTGCAGTGGGTGCTTGTCTTTGCAGCAGCCCTTTCCCAGCCAAGGGACACGGGCCATGGCTTTGAGAGAGAAGTTTCTGGTAAAGCACCACTGTACAGGGAAATCCAGATATTCCTATGTGCAGAAATATTTCAAACAACAGCAGCATTTCTGCTCACGTCGTGCTGAGTACAGAATGAATGTCTCAGATCAAAGAACATCCTCATAGGCTTTCCAGCATTTCCTGGATGTGCAGTTGTTGCTGTCGTTTCTGCTGCACAACTTTGCTATTCTAGCAAGAAACACTCTTTCTTTTTGTGTTTTACAACACCAACAACAAAGTCAAGCGTTTGGTCTTAAGGATCCAAAAGCCCAGGAAATGCATCTCTGGGGTTCCTCGTCAATTTGGGACCTAATGAAATATAGAAAATACTCAATAAAAGCACCCTGATTACTTTAAATGTTTAAATGTGGAGTTTTTAGCCATCAGGTTAATGTTTTTGTATCTTTTTTTGATTCGATTGTGAGCACTTTTCCAGGTATCTCTGCCACTTGAGCACTAATTGGATTTCCACAGATAAACGGTGCTAGCTGCAGCCCTTACATCACTGTGTTTTTACTTCATCATCATTTTATTTGTTTTTACTGTAAAGGTTAATAAATCTTGGTGTGTTTAGAGTATGAAACAAGGCAGGCAGGAGAAGAACGGCAGCGTGAAGGGGTGAAGTTTTATATTCTGCTTTCTCAAGTCGGGTGGGAGGAGGAGCAGCTGCCCTTTGTGGTGGTTCTAATGGGTGTGTTAGTCACCCAGGGAGTGATCCATAATCCTCCAGATAAAAAGCGTTGATCTCTCCACTAGTTCTCAGACAGAGCTCTAAGGCATTTGAATTGGGTTACCATTGATTTAAGGTGGGGAGAAGACTGTGTAGTGTGGGTCTGCTTTAAAAAGGGATGCACGGGATTTATTTAGCTTATTTAATTTTTTAAAGAATATTGGAAGCCTTTCAGTGCAAGTGCACCAGAGTTCCCTGTGGATTCTCAAGGAAGTTAATATAGTTCTTGCCAGTATTTTAGGGAAGAACTTACTGAATGGCAAATTTTAGTAAAAATTTAGGCTGTAAATAAATTTATATGAGAATTTATCAAGGTCCCAGATGTTTGCTGTCTCTTTCATTTATTCAGGAAAGTGTATTTTTTATCTTTTTCATGGTTTCCTGGGAAGGTGAGCTTGACTTCCTACCACAGCAGAGGTTTTCCAGCCACGAAGGCAGTGTAGAAGCCCTTTTTGGCCCTGGAGGGTTTGAAACTAGGGCATTTCAAATACCAAATTTTGGACGTTGTGGCTTGATAGAAATCGATTGACGGACCTGTACTTGAGCCAAAGCAGCATTAAAGACTGAATGTACTTTTTTTTCTGTTACAAAAATATAAAAATGCTTTGTGGCTCCGTTAGATCAGGTGCAGACTCCTGAGAAAAGTGCATTACAGCCTTGGGTTTCCAGTCGTTCCAGTCTGTAGCAGCAGTGGCTGTTCTTCCCTCGGTGTTAATTCCCTGCTGTGGACCCAGATTTCAGAGAGATTGTTGATGCTTTCTGCAGCATTTGTCAAGGAAATGGCTGCTTTCTTTTTTTTCCTGAAGTGAGTAATTGTTTATTAATTTTTCAGCACATAAAGAGCATAATTATAATAGTCCCTGACATATGCTGGCTGTGCCAAGGTTTAAGAAAAATAGAACCTAGTAGAAGTGCTGTTTTGAACCGTCTCTGATTTTTCAGGCCTTCCTGCTTTGGACCCAAATTTCTATGTAGGAATTTGGGACAAGAGCACAGGCGTCAGTTTAATTCTCCGTAGCATTAATTCTCTTTTCTCTTGGATGTTTTAACTCAGTTTAGGGCGATGGGATCTTACTCAGGTGTTTTGAGAAAGAAGAGTAGGTGATCAGTACGCTGGATTTTTTGGTACACACAGTGCTGCATAGGTTGAGCAGCATCCTGGATTTGTCCTGACACTTCTCTGCTTTGTTTCTTTAAGCAGTGAATGTAACATCCGTGAACAATGCTAGATTGACCCCAGGGGAAAATGAAGTGGGCCCATTGTTTGCAGAATATTTATGGTCTGGACAGCTACCATGGAAATGTTCCTCATGTTTGCCATTTTACTGTGTTTCACCCCTGTTATAGAGGAAGCAACATAAGAATTGCCAAGGAAGCTCAGTTGCTTTTGAGGCTGGTCATGGAGGTTGCTTAGATTTGCAGGAGGGATTGTGTGATGTGAGCTCTGTTCTGCTGAGAACTGGACAAAGACAAGGGACGCAGCTGCTTTTGAATCTATAAAATTATTCCACTTGCAGTCCCCACAGACGGGGCAGCTCTGGCCAATCAGGCTTCTTGCCCCTGACTTGGTTTTTCCCTTAATGGGGCAATTAACAGCAGGAACAAAGTGCATGGTCTGCTCAGTCTTTATTATTATTTGTGTTGTAATAAATGTCGAGGAGGCTAGTTGCAGACCAGCACCAGGAGCTGTGCAAATGCAGAGGAAAAAGACCATTCTTGTCCCAAAGAGCTCGAAGTAAAAAAAATAAATTTACAAAAAGGTCTTCCAGTGTTTCAAGTGCTTCTCCTTTTGCTGTTTCTTCCCAACTGCTGTGGTTTGCATGATTTATTGTACACCTGTCACAATTTCCAGCTTCTTTCAACATGAAACCTTTTGTTTGTTAGATTCTGGTGAACCAGATAGTTTCCTCCAGTATCTCCTATATTTATTCTCATTCAGATCTTCCTTGTCCTTCCTTGTCATCTCAGCCCCCTGACTTCAGCCCTAATTGTTTGGGGCTTTATTGCTGAAAGGAAAATATTCATTCTCTAATCTACATTCCCTATTATTAAAAAATTCTGTGAAATTAGGTTCTTGAAATAGGAGGTTCGAGGAATAGTAACTTGATGTTTTTTCCTGTCATTTGAGTCTTTTCAGTCTAAAACATCTTCATAGCTTCTTCTCCAGATGGGTTCTACTTTCGATCCTCTTGGACTGAATCTAAACCTTTGTTCACTGGCTTTGTCCAGTCCCTTGACTGTGGAATTAGAAAGAACTGAGTAAGTGTGAACAGCACTCCTGTTCTGGTGCATCTCTGCTTGATTCAGCCTTCTGGAGTCTCCCATTCAATAGTGAATTTAAGGCACAATTCTTAGGTGTGACACAGACTTGTATCCTCACGTCATTCTCCAGCTCCCTAACACGTGAATGAGCGTCCTGCAGTCCTTGCCTGCCCTGCAGTTAAAAGAATGAAAATGTAATAAATTACAGCTTCATTGGTTTCTACATTGTTCACGTGTGAAGGGAGCAGGCTAAAAGGGATTTCTTTGAAAGCTGCTGTATTTGAGCTCTGCAGGAATGGCAGCAGGGATAGAGAGAGGAAGGTGAGAGTCAGAGGTGCTGTCGTCTGCTCCCCTGGAACCTGGATCATGGATCTTTTTCAGTTGTGGAGCCAGGGACTGGTCCTAGTTCTGCTGTAGTGAGCACCTTGGACACTCGGTTGCCACATTCCTTTGGAGTGACAGCTCCAACATCATTAATTTCACAGCACACCCAGTGATCCCTAAGCTTCCTCCCGTAAGAAGGGAGAAGCAAGTTGTGGAAATTGGGAACTGTCATGGAAAGTTCTAAAAAGCTGCTTCTTTTTCTTAAGCTTTGACCTTCTGTCTGGCATCTCTCTTAGGTCCTGTGGACTTTGGTGACCTTGTCATGGCTGTCCCAGAGGGGAGCAGCTCCCTCACCTACGGCGTGAGGCTCAGCTCTGAGTTAGTCCCTGCCTTA